AGAAGAAGAAGAAGAATTATTATTATTGCTTCTGTGATTTGTATTCCTTGCCAAGTATTATAAAATTGATCAAACCAACAATGATGTGATGGGTGGGTCATGCAGCACACATAGTAGGGGTTGAGAAATGTATATTAAGTTTGGTCAGAATATCTGAAGGAAACAGATCACTTGGAAGACACAAATGTAAGTGGGAGAATAATAAGAGAATGGAAGGGTGCTGACTAGATTCTCTGGGCCCTAGATAGAATTCAGTAGTAGGTCCCAGTGAATGTGGTAATTAATGAATTCTGAGGTTCTTATGGTAGTGAATTTTAAGATTATGATTTTGTGGAATGTCAGATGGATATGTACCACATATACTCTGAAAACTGAGACAGCAGATTGCTTTGAAACACTGACATCTATCTACGAAAGTACACAATATATGATCTCACAAGATCCTATTCTTAACAGTAATAAACTCTTGGGTTCAAGAAAGCTGGAAAATTTCTAAATTAATTGAGTGACTATTAGTTTCTCAAGAATAATTTGTGCTCTGAAGGTAGTGATTTACGAATAAATTTTCTCTGAATTTTAAGAACTTCACTTATATTCTTTAATAGCACATTATCTGAAATGAAAATTTACCTCCCACACAAGTTTAACAGAAGTTGGGGTTAATGGCTGGGCATCCAGCAGCTCCACTACATGTCCAGCTAGGAGACTGGCCCTGGCTTCGTTTAGCTGCATTTCTTCTTCACTCTCCCCACCTGGCCAGGTGAGGCCTGATGCAGTCATGGTTACAGGTTCTGACAACAGACTTGGTGGGGACAAGCCATGTGAATTCTCAGCGCGAACAAGGAAAGTATAGCTTACACCTGGGGCTAGGTGATGCTGAGTGTATGTTGGTCCTTGGACACGACGGGCTGCTACAACCCATCCACTGCCTGAACTACTGTGACCAGTAGTAGGCTCCCGACCAAACAACTCGACCTGCAATAAGAATATGTTATCAGCTAATTGGCAGAAACCAAAAGTCCTGAAATGAAACTTGAATCCATTAGCTCCTTAATCCCTTCACACCTTGAACTCATAACTGTAAGCATGGATACCAAAGAAGGAAAGACAAGATGGAGGAGGAGAACGAAGAAACAGGAAAAGGAGTAGGACAAAAGAAGTGGAGGGTAGGCATGAAGAAGAGGAAAAAGTAACAGAAAACGATCAATAGAAATGATAATATATAAAAGTATTATGAAGAAGAAGAAGAAGAAAGTATGGTTTTTGTTTTTATTTTTATTAAGGCATTATTTTTGTTATATTTTTTACTTGTCAGAAGAAGAAGAAAAGCAAGTGGTGCAGGTCTTATTGTGTTCATCATTTTTAATTTTACAGAACTGCTTATCATTGTTTCTGTGATTTGTATTCCTTGCCCAGTATTATGAAATTGATGAAAACAAGTATGATGTGATGAGTGGGTCATGCAGCACACATAGTAGGGGTGAGAAATGTATATGAAGTTTTGTCAGAATATCTGAAGGAAACAGACCACTTGGAAGACACAAGTTACGGTTTAAATTATATTTTATGATGGTGGGATTTTTCTCTAGGAGAGATGTAGGTAGAAAATGTATTAAAAAAGTTACATTTTAAATTTTTAATACTATTTTTTCTGATTTCAATAGAGAACTCAGGGTAGATGAATACATTTTTAAAGAATAATTTAAATTTTTTATATTGGTATTTGATATATATATTTTCAAATTCTAATTTTTTTTCAAAAAATCTAAGGGGTAGGTGGGCAGATGCCTGGCTTGTCCAACCCTTGCTGGTGCACATTAGAGAGAAGGTTTTTTCCTGATGCTTTGGGACTGAAATTGTCAACAAAATCCACTCACTCATGGTCTTGTAGCACTTGTATGTCTCCCTCGAAACAGATATTTGAATGGAAGATAGTCAAGAGGTCAACATTAAATGTCTTTTATTTTAATCCTTCACATTAAATATGACAACAGGTAATATATTTAAACAGATGTCCAAAATGTATTGACACAACCAGTCTCCACTGACTTACCTGCAAAATGTGGGTGAAAATATTTCTGGAGTTGCAGTATGAATGTTTAACACATTATGAATTTCTTCTTTCTCTCTAAAAATATGAAATATTGCTTTTCAGACGTTTCAGACATTGTGGAGCGGTCTTCTGTTTTACTAGCATGAAAGTGTTCCACAGTAACCTTCACCCCCCCATCTTGAAACTGAGATGACACAAAGGCATGAGAACAGCAGAGTATGTAACAATGTGATTGTTCATGAAGTAGGATGATTTTTAACCTAATTGTATTTCTGGATGCTAGTGCAAGACATACATTTTCTTATGACACACAAGCCGTAAAACATTTGTCTATCTGGTAACACTTAATAACACTTTTTTTTTCAAGGACATGGTTTCAGAAACAATGAACTCTACATTAATGCATCTTAGATAAATATGAGAGAGAAAAATATCTGGCATCATTAACGATATAGAGGAGCACTGGGGTGTTTGCTATTACTGCCACGTTCCATATTTCTCTTTGCTTGATTATTTGTTCAGAAATTTTAAAAGTGAAGCATATCAGTTTTGCTTTGTGAAACATCAATTTACCTGCATGGCTTATAGAATGAATCAGAGCTTGACAGTCCAGTGATGAATTTACAGACAGAACTGAGCTAAGAAGTGCACTTTTATACATGTTTATATAATCATTCAGAGGAGTGTCTGGAATGAAATGTACCTGCAGAGAGGGCTGTTTATCAGACAATAGTGTGTTTGAATGGCAGGAAATTTTCCAAGGGATGTGAATCAGTGAGAGCTGAAACTCATAGTAGTCAGCTGTCTACATCATTCCCTGAATAAGAAGCAGTAAATACTGATGAACATTTACAAACTTTTGTCATGTTGCATGAAACACACTTGTATTTCCATTTTGTTGACTGTAGACGAATAATGCACCAGGCCATACAATAGCTCAGGCAGTGAGTCACTGGCTTCCCACCGTGACAGCCCAGGTCAGGTCATGTGGGATTTGTGGTGGATGAACTGGCCTTATGGCAGGTTTTCTCCAAGTACTTCTGTCTCCCCTGCCAATCTTCATTCCAACAACACCATCATCTGTCATCTGGGGCTGGTACAATAGGCCAGTAGTGGCCACAGTACCAAGTGGACTCAGTTTCACCCCACTAAGAATAATAATGAAGGTAAAAGTAAAGCTGTCCCTGTGCTTGGCTAGTTGGGTACTGCACTGTGGGGACGTGTGGGGGAGTGCATGTATAGACCCATGCTAAAAGCTACTGCACCAAAATAACTAAGCAGCATATTGCATTAGTTTACCAACAAGTCAGGAGCCGGGATTGCGTAGTCAGTATAGCATCTAGCTATGGGCTGGAAGACCGAGGGGTCGGAGCTGAAGTCCCTGTAGGGTCAAGAATTTTTTCTTCTCCACATCGTCAAGACCGGCTCTGGGGTCTGCCCAACCTCCTATCCAATGGGTACCAAGGGCTCTTTCCCCAGGGGTAAAGTGGCCGGTGCATGAAGCTGACCTCTCAACTCCAGCTAGTGCCTTGGTCAAGAAAATGTGGATCTATATGTCCACTTCCACATATGCCTTCATGGTGTAGTGCTTAATTAGTTAGGTACATGACAACTTCACTTTTTATTCTATTCCTTGTTTTTTCCCAAATACTTCTGAAAAATTTCATATTGTTTGCTTGGGTTTTGCTTTTGTTTCATTTGTAAGGGTGGTTGAAATATGATCACGAGACGTACACCATGCTGCACAAGACAGTGACATCATAACATGCATTTTGTAGCTGGGAGAGACTGTCCAAAGGAAGCAAAATCTATATTTACTTTACCTTCACTGTCAGTGGTGAGAAATGATGGAAATACATATGATTATGTAACATGAGAAACATACCTGATACCCAAGTAATGATGATGATCCAATTTTATTATTACGAGTCCAGTATATGGTGATACTTGAGTCAGTTTTGTTCACAATATGTGGTCTGCTGGGTGGCCCTGGGAACGTAGATGGTTCAGGTGCCCTGAAGAAATTGATGTTGGGATTGGTAGGCAGTTCAAGTCTGAGTGCACCACTCCATGTCGCTTTACCACTGCGAGATGATGCTACACAAGTGTACAAACCACTGTCTCGCTTCTCCAGATCTGCAATGATGAGTATGATTTATGAAGCCATTGAAATGCCAGGTACTGGAGATTTTGATCTCTACAAAAATTTCCATATCCCATTATATGTGTGAGATCTGTTAGCATTTTGTCTTAACTACACAGTGAAGAAGAATTTGGAGGTAATAGTTTCTATATATTTGAAATTTTCGGGAACCTTTTATATGTTATTTACCCATGGAAGAAGATCAACTGCAACAATAAATACCTGGGATTCTAGGAATTAAACTTCTACCTCTAGGGTTAGAACACTGGAAAATGTACGACCACATCTATCTTGCAGCTATGTCATGTTGCTTCCACAAGAAAATTTACCTTCCTGACGCTTTACTGCATTACTTTCAACAACAAATTGCCTTCTTTTAATGCTTCTTCCCAATAACTCTAAAACATTTTACTGCTCAGATTAGGGTTATGTTGCTTAATTTAGGTTGTAATCTCCTACTTCGTGGCATGTCTTCTAAGATTATACTGGAATGGGTGAAACTTGGGGGTAAGAAGTGTCATTGTATTCCAAGCTATTGCCTTTATGCTTTGTCCATATGCTGAACTGCATTTTCTTCATTTTAAATTTCATTTTTTGTTAACTTAATAAGTTCATATAATAAAGCATATTTCCTGTTTCTGTGAACATTCTAGCAACTAGTTTTGTATTTGTATATATCCTCTTTAGAATCCTTAAAACATCTGGTAGGTATGCACACAAATTTTTGCATCTGCACCAGATGTGAACATTTGTTCTGAACAACTTCCTGGATTTTTCAGGTACTTGGGAGGGAGTATTTGATTAGGGATTAATGGTCTGAAGTATTCTGTTCTTGCAGGTAACTCTTAACAGATGCATGGTCCCAATAATAATTAGACAGACAGCTATCAGTAATTTGCCTACAGGGCACATAAATATGACTTCACCATTTTAGAATAATTCAGACTTCAGGTCTGTGCTGTGACACTACAGAAACTTGCTCAACAAATAAAGTGGTAATCTGCAAAAAGGATATCTAATATTGTGTGGGAGGTTTGATGGTTAATCTTCAGAATTATAGTCAATTCTTCAGGGCACAAATAAGTGCTTGCAATGCTTGTAAAATGCTGAATGGGATGTTTCAATCACATATTCTTTGAAATATGTTCAAGTTTAGTACTTCATTGTGATTTATTTAATCTAAATGGTCTGAAATCCTCTAAATTAGACCTTAAGGTACATGATCACATTGACATGACATTTTGAGTCATTAACATTTTCAAATGAAAAAGTTCTTGGGCTTGAGTTTAATATTTTACAGCCTAAGAGGTGAAACGGTAGAACAGGAACTGTTAAAGTTCATTCAAAATTTAGATTTTTGTATCTTTTATACATGAAAACAGTTTGTAATCCTTTATCTGTTTGTTTGAAATTTTAAGTCTTTGCAGGATATAAAGTATTTTAATAACAATAGAGCAGGTTATCTGAAGTCACATATTTTCCTGAAATTTAGTTCTTACAATGGAAGATACCTGGATCTCGGGCTGTCATCTTAGCATTTACTGTGGGAGTTATACAGGCTGGAGTACTGATTCTTTCAATATTTAATAGCAAAACGTTAAGTTTTTAGTATGAAGGAATGTGATCTGCATATGTTGACATTTTTTTGCATCACATACCCCAGTTTATGGTACCCTAGGATGCAATGTGGATAAATTATCCCTTGATGTAGAACAAATATATGATTGTTCTTCAAGTGAAACCCATTCATGATGGTGGTAAAGAATATGAGCAGTTGTAGGTGATCAAGTGGCTGTGTGGTGGATGTCACTAGGTTTTTTGACTCATTGGAGAATTATATTTGAAATAAGAATACTGGACTGAGCAAGTTAGCTCAAGTGGTATTATTTTTAATAGCCTTTACTTATTCACCTTGAAGAATCCCTGAATGGGTTTCACTTGAACAATTATCACACTAGGAATACATGATTGATAAGTAGGTTGACATCTAACCATTGATCTGCAACGTTCCAGAATCAGATATATTAATCCTAGGGCCAGGAAGAACAGGGGCTCCATCTCTATACCATGTGATGACTGGTAAGGGGCTTCCAATTGCTGAGCATGGCAGTACAGCCATTGATTTAACTGGTAACGTCTGATTGGTGGGCCCCAGTGTGATAATTGGAGGAGGATGGTCTTCAGGAGATGCCACTGTCAGACGAGCTCGCCAGGTAACAGAACCAGCAGGGTTTACTGCAGAGCACACCACGACTGTTCCTGAGTCATTCCGAGTCACTGACTAAAGAGAAACGTGAGAAAAAATGTCATCTTTAACGACTGATATATCAGGAATATTTATTATTATTTATTCATTATTGATGCATGTCAAATTGTTGTGATGGTGAAGTTCGCTACGTTGTACCATAAAAATATATGTCACTAACAAATAATAAGTGGTTCAGCCATCCTCCTGCTTCAGCATTATCTGGTGGGCTTAATGAAATATCAACTGTTGAATATTTTTAGACATTTCTTCAGTGTGTATTATTTTGAGGGTGATCCAAACTGCCCTTGTATCATTTGAGAGAAACATTAACCATGTTCTCTTACTCTACACAAATTCTGTTATACTGAAATACTGTATTCAGTAAGACAGCCTGGATTTTTATTTTTACAGGAAATGAAATGTATCATTTTTGAGGTGTACTATAGTGTTATTACAAGAGCACTCTTATAGTTACCTGCAGGGTCAAAATGGCGCTGCCTTCAGGTGTACTGGAAGCAATGAAGCGATCACTTCTAGCTCCAGGGAACAGTAATGAGCGATTACCTTCCAAGCACCAAAACACTGAAGGTCTAGGATTTCCAGCAACTCCACACTCAAAGACAGCATCACGATGTAGCTCTATAATCTGGTCCGATGGCCTTGTTGTCATCGATGGTGAAGCTGTTAAAAGAAAAATTTCACATTCCTCCACATGGAAGCACTCCCCTCCAAATTTCCTTAGTATCTGAAAGTTTCCAGATGTAAGCTCAGGGTTTCACACTGTCTACATGTTGAGATTCTCATTGTGATGAATATCAAGATTGTGGTTTTCTGAGATATAATGCAATATAGTTTTGTAGATATGGTACCAGCATTTTACAGGAACCTGCTACTTTGATATTCTACCACAAAGAAGGAGGCAACAGGTTCCTCTAAAACGTTGCCACCTATATACCTAATTATAAGATGTCATATCTCAGAACAAAATATATGAGATTTCTAATAAATTAAACCAAAGTTTGATACCAATCTTCTACGATATCTCTATATCACATCTGAATGTTTTGGTGGAACGTTTCGTTAGTTATTACTATCAACTTTAAAGTGAATGCATGGATTCTGGATGGCTGTGATATCACTGTTTTACAGTCCACAAAAATATGACCTTAACTCATATATTTTTTTAAAAAACTGACTTGTCCAATTGTACATAATGTAACAGTTATGGATGTTAAATAAATCAATATCAATAACTAAAAGTTACATATTTTCTTAACATCTATTTAGCAAACAACATTTCAGGATTCTGCACTAAATGGTGGAATTGTTGCTCCCTCCTCATAAGTTGACTTGCTTTGATATTATTTATAATCACTCACTCACTCACTCACTCATGGAGCTGAGTGATATTATTTATAATAGGAAATTATAATATAGAAGGGTCTGTAACCTCTAGTGACAAGTTGTTCATGCTGTCATGAGAATCTGTAGTTGATCTGTAAATAAATATAGGAGGACATTTTCATGGATGTCATGAAGCCGTCTGCCTCGTTTTCCTCATAAATAAGATAAAATCACCTTAAAAATACTTACCAAATAAATGACACATTCAAATCTAAACAGTGCAGATGGTATATTACACTTAGAAATACAGGATATCTGACCTTTGTCTATCATCTGGCATTCTGAACAGACACATTCCAAAAAGTGATTTGCTTCAAGTCCCAGATAAAATGTGGGAACAGTCCTGAATCAGCTAAGGGCAGGAACAGATTCATTTTCTTCAGTTCAGTTCAGTTCTGAAATGCTGTATTCAGTTCAGAATGCCAGGGGTAGAACAAATGCAGAAACCCAGTGCTGCTCAGTGATAAAGATATACAAGATACTGTCTTGGAATTGAATGAACATTAACACAACTTATTTTGATATCTAATACATAAAGGCACAAGGTAAACACATTTTTGTGCTTAATTAATTGAGCACTATGCCATTAAGGCATAGGAGGCGTTCAAGGTGTAGCTACACCATTCCTGATGTCAGCACAAGATGGAGGTGAGTGGTCAGCTTCACGCCTTGGCCACTTTATTCCTGGGGAGATCTCCCCTGGTACCCTTAGGATATGAGGCTTCATGTGTCCCAGAGCCAGTCTGGATGCTATAGAGACAAGAAAAATCTTACTCATTCTGGGGATCAAACCCCAACAGTCCAGCCTATAGCTCATCATTATGCTGACTGTCCTATCTTGTCTCCATGGAATATGTATATATATAAATTTTTATTAAACATATATGTAGTAACAGTTTATAATAAATCACTACATATTTTTGGGGCATGCCATAGTGTAGTTGGTTGAGGCACTATGCTACAAGCCAGAAAGTCACGAGTTTGATTCCCAATGACTTCACTGGATTTTCATTTAACCTAATGCTTCCAGCATTATGGCCCTGGGATCGACTCAGCCTCTAACAAAAATGAGTATTAGGAATCTTCCTGGGGGTAAAGGGCTGCCAGCAGGCACATAAGGCTGACAACCTTACCGCCATCTGTGAGCCAATTGTCTAGAAAATGTGGAAACCTCAATGTATTGCAGCCCTATGGACCTCAACGGCCTGTTACAGGGATATCTATACCTTTTACTACATATTTCTACCATGTTTGGTAATCTTTAGGTGGTATGTACATATATCAAAGCCTTGTTACTGAATTACTGTAATCAATTATATTGTAGATTTTCATATGCATATATACCACCTGAAAATGAGAAGAATTGGTAGAAATATTTAGTGGTTTTAATAAAGTGTTATTATACATGCTGAATATCAACATAAATTTATTGATGTTCATTCAATTCCAGCCAACAAAAATACACAAAACAGGCTTAAAATATAATGATTTTACATATAAGCTCATAAAGAGAATAATGAATTGTGTTGGCACTTGCAGTATGATCTGGGATATCTGATGAGACCTTTTCAGTGATTAAACTTGAAGGATGATATTTAACAAGTTCAGTACAGTTCACTGGCCCTGAACAGGAGAGTCAACTCACAGTGGACAGTTAGTGTGGCTGAAGCGGTGACAGTACCGACCGCATTATCAGCTTCACAACTGTATTCTCCTTCGTCCTCAAGGATGACATCTTCCACACGAAGGCTTCGGTCCTCAAGGATATGGACTCTGCCCAGGGGCATATTCCCACCACCAGCTGTTCTCCTCCAGAGAATGTCAGGTAGTGGGTCACCACCCACACGGCACTGAAACTCCACACTACCGCCAACAAGTGTAACTGCATCTTGTGGTCCTCGTATCAAGAATGGTTTCACTGTAATTGCAGAGAGAGGTAACTCTTCCATTATCCATTCCATTTATTGAGTAAAGTAGCTGTTGGAGTCAGTCATATGAATCATGTGAAACATATGAACAGTTATTTGTGATCTGAATTGGGTTTTATTATGTATAAAGGCATGACATTTATACATGCTGCCACTTGAAAGGTCCAGCTGAAACCTGGTAGTGAACATTTTTAAACAATTTTTTGGCAGCTTGTTTTCTTACAGTTGTCAAATTGTGTCTAAATAGAATGTATTTGATTTGATATTCACACAGTGGTGGCTATGAAAAATTCAGTCTTTGGGATGTGAAGTCATGTAGTTTGGTAGACATTCACTGATGTTTCAGAGGAACATGCTGCCTCCAACTTCAGGTTCGAAGAGGAAGCTGAACAAGTAACCAACAAAATGCAGACAGCAATGAGACTGATGACCCCTTTGACCTTGAATATTGAGACATCTCTAGAACATAGGTATAACTCTTGCAAGATTACATGATGTCACATTCCAGATAATATTATTCTAAATTTAGTTTATTTATTTATGATATATGTAACAACGCTGATATTAGTGCAGGTTGATAAGAATAAAATTAAAGGATGTGGAAAGATGCGGTTCTGGGCTATTTTGAGTTTTTATTCCTGAATTTGTCTCGAGGGTCTGAGGAACATACTGTAGAACCTCAGTCTGGAGACAGAGCTTTGAACCTGGAATGTCTCGAATACGAAGCAAGGATGAAACATATTCATGTATTCACGTATTTGAAACACTTCTATTTTGGCACATGAGAGTGAAATTTTCGAGATTGAATTGAGAAATAAGAATCTCGTTTCACTTCGAACGTTGATATTCTGATCTCAAACTTCAGGAATTCTCAGATAACCGCTACTTCTTTGTCCAGTAGCATGTAAACTGCTCTTGCAGCAGAATCACAAGGACTGATAACGCTAGTATCATTTTTTCGACAAAATTACCTCACATTCAACAATTGGTGGAAAAAGACGTGGCTTTAGAATTGATTGTTTTACAATGAGTCGTGAATAAGTATTTGTTTAAAATTTATGTGATACCAGAAGGGTTAAGTACAATAATTAAGTGCACTCTGAAAAAGTACGTAGTGTTACAATTTGCGATTACAGTGAAAAACATTGGCTCAGTAGAGAAAATTCTCATTGTCATCAGAATTTTCGATTTTTTTAATGCTCATCTCTAACTGAAATGGAGTTCTCGCAAGTGCTACTTCTGCGTGTATTACATGAGCCAAATGTAGTAAATATAACTCCCAAATTTCGTAACTCTTTCCGGTTTTGCCCATGGACTTTGGCAGGGGGACAAGCTAGAATATTCCTCCCCTGGATTCTTTTTTAAAAATCAAAACTGGAAAAGGAAGGAAATGTAAAAAAGGCAAAGACGTCTCTGTGCCTAATTAATTAAGCACTATGCCACGAAGACGTATTGGGGAGTAGAGGTATACCGCCACCATTCTTAACCTCGGCAATAATGGGAATGGCTAGCTTCGAGTCCCGGCTGCTTTACTCCCAGCTAAAGGTCCCCGGTTACCCAATGGAGAGGAGGGTGGTTGGGCCCCAGAGCCGGTCTGCACGCTGAGGAGAAGAGAAAAACTCGTCCCTGCGGGCAATCTAACCCAGTCCGTCCGACATCCTCATTTCATTTGCATTGGGAAAAATCCTAATTAACTTGTTCTCTGTTTTTCAAAAAAATTTTCAGCTTGAGTGTCTGTAAGCATCTGTTAATTTAGTTTTCTCTAACTTCCTTTGTAACGTTTAAAGTGAAATTTGATTCCATAATCAGTTCATTGGACGTTGACTATAAAGTTTATAGATAAACACCGTGCGTAAATATGTGCACAATCGATTTAAAAACCAGTCAATGATGTCTGAGACAGAGTCATCTGTAGACAATTGGCTTGAATGTTGGCATGTACGGTCATGTGAGTATAGGAGGCGAAGGAGGTTGTTTTATTAACATGCGTCTGTGTTTATCGGTTCCGATCAGTTCGATGTCAAAGTGTGTGCAACGCGTTAGTGCTTGTGTCCGAGAGTTGAACCGGGCTGCAGGCTTCGTGCCGAGAATCTGGAAAAATCCTAAGGTGGCTATCTTATTTTTCGATTATAATTAGATTAAGCTCTGGAACCTCAATGATTATTTGTCGAAAGTTGGTTGAGGATAATGATGTAAAAAATGGGCACCGACATCCCCACATAAGATAAGAGATATGTGTACCCCAGGCCATGGTTTCTGAAATTGGGGTACCCAAGTACACTAACTTTTTCACACAAGATAGCAGTACGTGTACCATAGATCAGAGTTTCTCAGACTGTGGCACTGGTACTCCTACGGGTGCAAAAGCGGATCAGCTTTCCCATACGGGATTTAGGCGTGTGTAATGTTAAATAGTTTTTCAAACTGTGGTAATTGTAAATAGAGATGGCCAGGGTACTGTAAGTTACTAAATGGTGCATTAAAAATACTGTTCTAGTACCACAAACAATTTTATAAGAAATCGGGCCACAATTTAGAAGTGAACCACAGTTACGTAAGATAACCTTGTAACGCATCTAGTACCTGAAAACAGAAAGCTTTAATTCAGATGTGTATTTTGCAAGTAGTTTTTTCCTCATAAGGTCCAGATATTTGTGTAACTGTTTTAGAGCAGGCTGGAGCAGCGGCAACGCTCTAGACTTGTATTCAGAAGGTGCTCGGTTCGAATCTTGGTAGGGACATCGGAGCTATCATGAATGATGTATTTCGTTATTTTCTCAGTCCATCCAAGCAAGTACCTGGATAGTATCTTAAAGTAGGTCATGAGCGCTTCCTTGAAAATTCTTTCCAATTCATTAATCATCCAACCATTCGACGACCTAAGTGAGCGTTAATGAGAGCGTAATTAGATAAACAGAGGATGAAATAAATTTAACTAGACTGTCAGTAACTAGCACCATACAGCACTTAATAACTGAATGACAGTGAACAATAAATTCGGACGAATGTGGAATAAAGGGGTCGTGACCTGGTCTGAGGCAATATCAGAGAAGTTACCTGGAGGGACTGGGCAAAAACCACGAATCCGACAGGCAGTGTAGTCGGTGTCTCGCCCGAGGTTCGAACCGGTCACCTCCCGAAATCCAAATGTAAGTCAGAAGCATTACCGCTTGAACTGACTTGCTTGTGGTACATTATATTCTGTGTGTGTTGGCAATACAGTGTTCGGATATATCAAGTGTGGGTAATATTCATCACCTAATGCGGCTTGGTTTCCTTTTAGAAAAAGTTTGGAACGTTTTTTTTTCAAAACGTGTACCTAGTTGTCCAGACGCATCATTTCAGTAAAATCGTGCCCAAATGACCAGTACGCTAACATAGTGTCCCACTTAGTAGGTCTCATGTTCATGCTACAGAACACCGGCAATGTTACTACAAGTAGTAGGTTGTGTGTCAGCCCAACTTGACGCTAGGAGGGTCAAATTCTTCCGTCTGAGTACGCGCCCGCCACAGTCTTGCTGTCATTATCGGGCTTGGATGTACACTTTCGTGGTCTGTCTAACGGAGCTGCGCCAGAAATCGCTCTGGAAAGAATGAAGAGAGCCAAGAGATATCTCTACCGACCAGCCTGACATAGAGGTAACGCTCTAGACTTGTTTTATGTATCAGTAAACCCGGGATTGCCTAGACGGTATAAGGTCGGCTATAGAGTGGAGAGTTGGGTTTCGATTCCCGGAAGGGGCAAGATTTTTATCTTCTAAACTTGCAGACTGGCTCTGGGGCTCATCCAGCCTCATATCCAATCGGTACCTGGGGCCCTTTCCCTGGAGGTAAAGCGGCAGGGGCGTGAAGCTGATCACTCACCTCATCTAGTGCTGAGGTCAAGATTGGCGGAGCTATACCTCCACTCCCTCACATGTATTTATGGCGGGGTGCTTAATTAATTAAGCAGAGGATTTACTTCACTTGACCTTTTTATGTAGATTTGTTATTGTGCTTAATTAATTAAGCACCATATCTTCTACCTTGAAGATGGAGGTAGCATGCACTTCCAAAACAAAAATGTACCGCATGCATAATCAGGGTAGAATACTCTTCTGTTCTGACGATGGAGGCAATATGTTCCTCCGAAATATCGGTAACGATATACTGCCACCGCCTTCAGGGTAAGAGACTCTTTTACCCTGAAAATCGAGGCAGCACACTCCTCTGAAACGCCATTAACGATCTACAATGCTACACGGAATCACATCCCGGAAACCACGGTTTCTTCGTATCGTTGCTCTATGTACACGTATTCTCACCATGTACTTTGAGCAGTGCGACTGCAGACTCCCTGACGCCCACTGTGTTCTTAGCGACGCATTGATATCGGCCATCATCACTCTGACGGGCATCTTGAATGGCAAGGTTCCCTCCGTCTACTAGACGGATCCTGTAACATTAGGGAAGCAAAGAAATTACGTATATACTTCGCTTTTCGTGATACGGAATAGCTAAAGTACAAAGCAGTACACGTGTTTAATTAGTACTGTGTACACCAGATGTCGACTGTTTTGGCTAGGACAATTTCATCCGAAGAGATCGGTACGTTATTAATCAATTAGTATCACATTTCTGTCACGAGATGGCATGAAAGGCGAAAAGATAACGAAGATTGGAGGAAACAAGTGCCAGTCAGTCATATATTATTCCCACTGCTGTCTGAAGATCATCTGATGAAAATATTATGTGTGTGGGCGCTCACGGTAGCCGAGCGGCCTGCACTGTCTTCGCTCGCTTGGAAGCCGGGATCGTGGGTTCGAATCCCACTCATGGCATGGATGTTTGTATGCGTTTTTCTGTGTTTGTCTACAGGTAGAGGCCTTGCGACGAGCTGATCACTCGCCCAAGGAGTCCTACCATATGTGTAAGATCTAGAAAAACCGAAGTGAACGAAGTTCATGGAGGTAGGCCTAGGCCCACTGGGGCTGTAGTGCCAAGGGGGGAAAAAATGTATGTGTGTGTGTGTGGGGGGGGGACTTTTGTGCAACTTCAATTATCCATAGGGAGCGCAGATAGTTCTATAGCGAGGCTTCGCATTTGAACGTTTGACCACCACGCCACGAAGACACATGGAAATCGAACCCAGATTCTCCAGTCTTCCAGACCGCTGCCTAATAACAATACGAGACATTTCAACTGTTACTCGCGAGGCGTTACCTTTTCCAAGTATATCGCAAGTTGGTTTTTCGGGTAATATGTAACCTTCTTCCAAATTTAGCGGCTAGAGGGTGTCACGTGGTCTGCGCAATGGATCTCTACTGCCGTTAATTTCCCATTTCCTTGAAATAGCTCCTCATTTATCCTCACGAGTCTGAGTGGACTCCGGTCCACTAACTTTGCCGACAATTGGCGGTCGCTCGGTATAGTTCGCTTGCGGACTACCGGCCACGGAGTTTGTTTTGTTTTTTATGTAACCTTATGAGAAAACTGTCCATATTAAGAAAATTTTGTTGAGTCAACATAGTTCCTAGTGGACACAATACATCATCATCATTTTTCAACTGCACGCTATGTCCTGGTCGAATGGCTAGTACTCCTACCAAATAAACGAGGGGTCTTGTGTCCAAATTTTGGCCTTCAAAATATATACCGTAACTGAGGTTCTCCGTGGCCTTCTTCAGTCCTTCCAAGCAAATTGAGGATTAGTGCATGAGATTAGGCGTCGCCTGTTTCTTTCTGCACCCTTTCATTCATTCATTCATCAGTAATCTGTCAAGACGACAGGTCCACAGTCTCTTCCAGAACAGTTCCTCGACTTAATGCGATCTCGAGCTTTCTCCTTCAAATAAGAATATCCTCTTCTGTCCCCAAGGTCATCCAGCATCTTCTTACGTCTTCTTCCTCGTCTTCTGGTCACTTCTATCCGCCCCTCTATCTTTCCTTCAATAACTTCTTTTAGAAGGCAGTTACCGAGTAAGATATGACCTATCCAATTAGCCTTCCGTTCTCTTATTTCGTGTAGGATATTCCTCTGCTCACTGACTTTAAATAACACTTCTTCATTTCTCACATAATCGGTCAAATTCATCTTCTCCATCCTTCTCCAACACCACATTTCGAAGCTTTCCAGGTATTTCTGATCTACTGCCCTAAGTGTCCAAGTTTCAGCGCCATACAAAGCAATGCTCCGAATATAGCATTTCACTAGTTTCTTTCTCAAATTTAAGTCCAATTTGCTGGTAAAAAGATTCTTCTTCTTGCTAAATGGAGCTTTTGCCATGGCAATCCTAGATTTAATTTCACACGTACACCTTCCAACATCTGTTAACAAGCTACCCAAATATTTAAAACATTTCACATTCTCCAGTTGTTTTTGGTCTATCTTTAGTGTGACTGCGGTTGGTTGTCTCGAAATTTATAGTTTATTATTAATTAATTAATTATCCACTCACTCGACGTTATATAGTCCAAAATCTGGACTTAAGGAACTGACAGCGTCACAAAATGGAGATAAAGGAACATCACAAAAGATAGTAATCTTGATTTTCAGGGTCGTGACATAGCTCGGACGATTAGTCCCAACGCGGCTGTCCGGGTTCGATCCCAGGTCAGGTCATATGGGAGTTGTGGTGGAAAAAGTGTCAGTATGGTTTCCCCTGCCAGTTCTCATTCCACCAACTCCTTCATACTCTTCAATCATCTGGGGCTGGTACAACAGGCTCCATTGGTGGCTGAAGTCCCGAGTGGACTTAGTCTCGACCTTCCTCACTCACTCACTCACTCACTCACTCACTCATGGAGCCCTTCTTGAGAAGCCGCCAATTGTGCAGCTACTCAAGAACTTCCTAGCATTTTATGGAACCCGAAGCTTCATTACTCTGTTCAAAAGAGCCCTTCCACTCATCCCTATCATGAGCGAGATCGATTCAGTCCGTACCATCCCATTCGGTCTCTATAAGATCCATCTTAATATTGTTCACCCACCTACGGTTTGGTCTTCCTTGTGGTCTCCTTCCTTCTGGCTTTCCCAACAATATCCTATATGCGTTCCTCTTCTGCCCCAATTTGTGCTACATGCTCTGTCCATCTCATCATCCTTGACTTGATCATTCTAATTATACCTGGCGAAGATCACGAGAATAAAAATCGGACTTGATTCCAGTATGTTACCTTTTCGTGACGTCGAGGTCAACAGTCTGTCCATTCTTGCGCCAGAAGACGGTCGGTTCCGGATGTCCCCGCGGAGGGCCACACTCCAATAACGCCGTCTCACCCTGCGCAACTCGTGTGTTCTTTGGCTCCGCCCTGAAGTCATCCCGTAGCACTGCAAAACAAACGTGGAAAGGGTCAAGCAATGTTTGCAATTGTGCTTATGTATCGCTTGCAATTAATCCATATTACGGGTAATGAGACGTTACATACGGAAGATCAAACGAATGCGGTAACAAGGTACACACTACGGTCGGATTTACATGCAACGAACAAATATTTGTCATGTGAAAAGCTTTGTACACCAAACGCAGATATTTGTGACGTGTAAAACACCATTTTGAATTACTGAGTACTTCATTAGTAAAAGTACAAAGATACTTCATCTACATATGGAACCATCGAACAGGCTCTCATAGCAGTAGTCCTTCTCATACGTATTCAGAAGGTACTTGGGTCGAGTATAGGTCGGGACACCGGATATCATGACAGAATTTTTGTGACTTTCCTCATTTTCTCAAGGAAAATGCTGGGATAATACGTCGGTTAAGCCACGACCATTTCCTTTCAAATCACGCATTCGTCTAATATTATACCATTTGACGTTGTCTAGTCTATCTACTGATCTGTCTATGGCTATACAGTCATTTTGTTGGGCCTTGGCCGCTTTTTCAGTTTCTTGATCCATACACAGTCGGTAGAACTCCTTGGACGGGGGATCATTGAGTCGGAAGGCCTCTACCTACACACAGAATAAACGCACACAGACATCCATGCCTTGAGTGGGAATCGAACCCACGATCCCAGCGTTCGAACGATCGAAAACAGTTCATGTCTTAGCTCCCGCGACCACCGTGATCGGCTAATCTAGCTACTGACAGCGTAGATAAATCACCTACAAAGAAACAAAAATTATTTGTGAAAAATAAATTAGTTACTGAATGCTTATGAAATTCACCTTCATTCTGAACCACTGTACTGCTGAATTATTCAACGTTTAAAGTAAAAAATTCAGTGGAGGAGTGTAAAAGCAAACAAGTATGTGCTGACATCTTGTTATCAGAGGGCAAACCACGCCGTAACACAACGAGAGCGAACAAACCATGCGAAAACATGACGAAGCTAACGCCAAGGCTGCATAGATGTTGAAATTTAGCGAAGATTAAATTTGATGAATGATTTCAGACATTCAGTTCCGAATGTTTTGTTTTCTTCTCTACTATCTAAACATTTAAAGGATTAAAATATACAATAAACATAACTTTGCCTGCATTTTAGGGGCCGCGCCATAGCTCAAGCGGTTAGTCGCTGGCTTCCCACCGCGGCGACCCTGGTTCGATCCCGGGTGTGGCCAAGTGGGATTTGTGTTGGACAAAGTGGCTCTGGGGCGGGATTTCTCCGAGTACTTCGGTTTCCCCTGCCAATCTTCATTCCACCAAATTCTCGATCATCATAATCACCCGGGGCAGGATACAATATGCCAATCAGTGGCCGCCGTGCCGAGTGGACCCAGTTGGACTCCACCCCCCACTATGCGAATTTCCTGCAGTTTTGTATGTGTGTGTGAATCTTGGTCACATCAAGGGTAAGACAGAAACTGGGTGTTTTTGAGATCAGGATTCAGAGGATAATGAAAGAGGATGGAAGTAAGGAAAGATTTGAGAAAATGACAATGACATTTGTGGATCATGTAGCACGGATGCGAGAGATGAGGAATGTATATAAAGATTAGTCGGGAAAGGGAAGAGACTACTGGAAAGACCTGAGCGTTAATGGGAGAATTATAACAAAATGGACCGTAAAGAGCATTTGAGAGCGTGGAATGGATTCATCTGGCTCAGGATAGGGTCTGGTGTTGGGATGTTGCAAGTAATGCAATGAAATTTCGGGTTCTGTAAAAAGGCATAATATGTATTTCTTGATGAAATGAACGATTATTAGCTTTTCCAAAAAAATTCTCTGACCCATAGTGCTAGCAGACGTTTCTGTTTAAGTTAATCTACTACGCATCTGACAAGATTCCTTTTAGAAAGGATAAGATCATGGCAATGCTGTGATCGGTAGTTCACTGCGAACAGCGATCCTAGCGTTCAAGTAAGTCACTATCGTGAGCGTCTTAGACCGCGCGGCCATTGTGCTCTCCTAATTGCATAATAAATCACTTAATCCCAAGTCTTCTTCTACACTGTAGATGTTACTAGGATTTGCGAGACCCTCCAGGACATGAAACTTATACCAGTGCATACCTTAGCACGGAAAGGCAATATAACGGTAACATGATGTGACAGGTATTCTTGTAATTTGGAATAAATTATATTTGACCGTATTCATGCATATCCTTATTATCCAAGAAACAATGAATTTCAACATTTTTTTTATATCAGCTGGCGAAAAGGGAACGTTGAAGAAATTAAAGGCTTTATGGATGTGATTGCAGCTTAAGAAAATAATAGAATATATCTAAGTAAAGGTAAAGTTGTCCCTGTACTTAACTAACTAAGCACTACGCAATGAAAGCGTATGGGGAGTGGATGTATAGATCCACATTTTCTTGACCTCGCTATTAGCTCGAGATAAGTGGTCAGCTTCACGTCCTGGCCGCTCTACCCCTGGTACCCATTGGATATGAGGTTGGGTGGACCCTAGAGCCGGTCTGGATGACGTGGAGAAGAGAAAATTCTTGACCCTACCGGGACTCGAACTCCAACCCTTCGGTCGTCCACCTCGTAGCTAGACGCTATACTGACTACGCTATCCCGTCCCGTCTATGTATGTGTACCTAATAATTTATTCAGTATGATGTCGATCCATTACCCAGAAAACCCATTTTCCATTCTGAACGTTAAAATAGGCATTTGATTTGTAATTAGTCATATTTTATCTGAATCAATGCTTTCGCTTTCTTCGATTAGGTCTTGAACCTATCTTTCTTATTGGTCTGTGGCTGACCGGATGTTGTGATACGAGAAGCCACACAATTTCTGTTGTATGTTGTAGTAACGCCATGGCCTGATACCATTCTCTATGGCTTTTGTACATTGACTGTTTAACTACACGCAAAACATGGAAGTATAACAGATTGAAGTCCGGAGAATCTGATGGCCATTCTGTGTATGAGAAGTTAACTGCAGCGTCATCCGACACTTTTCAACACTCAGAACAGAAAATATATTCCTGTGTAACAGAACAACAAAATCGCATTCTTAGTTATGTTTTACACAACTTACGTTGAGTTCCATTCGCCTCCTTCAAGCCAATCCTATCTGCCATTGCCTAAACGCCACTTTCTTTTACGCACCCCGGTATATTATTTATGGCTTATTTAGCGACGTTGAATAGCTGGATTATATCAGTTGGTATATAAATGGGCTGAGGTCTGGACGACGGAGGAATCAGATCAGAATTCGATTCCCGGCAGAGGCAAGATATTTTCTTCTACAGCTTTCTGACCGGTTCTGGGGCTAACCCAGCCTCCTATCCGATGGGTACCGGGATTCCTTTTCAGAGGTAAAGCGGACGGGGTGTGGAACTAACCATTGACCTCCATATAATGCCGAGTTCTAGAGTTGTGGAGCCGTACCTCCACTCCCACATGTCTTCATGAAACAGTGTTTAATTAATAAGCGCGGAGACAAATTCACTCTAATGGTGAGTTAAAAGGAATATGGCAGGAAGCGGCCGTGACCTGACATAAGGTATTGTCTCTGAATTTGCTTGGAGCGACGTAGCTGCATTTCCTTTAGATTAACGTTAAATCGAAGAGAGCAAACAACATGTGCATAAAGAGAAAGACTCCCTACATAGTGTAGAACAGGGGTACACTCTCCTATACTTGCGTCCCAACATTTGAGAGGTGAATTCACTTGTACGTTCTAACTTCTTGGTTCTGCAGTTCCCTAAGAACCCTGGCCCTTTTAAGACAGATACCAACTCGTCTATATTATTTGTTTTTTGTTTTCATCTCTTCACCCTTAGCTCTCGCAAATCATTTTCAGAATCTTCAACCGATTGCTCTTATAAGCTGTCGTCATTCGTTTTCCCAAATTATTGTGGTGTATAGAGCCGTTGCTGTGCAATGACCGCGAGATGGGCGGATATACCAGACCCCTTTCTGGGCAACGGCTCGGTAAACACTTTCCCTTTGACAGGCAGCAGATTCTTAATAATGCAACAGCTGGACTACAACAACGGAAACTGGGTGTTTCTGCATGGTCCGTTTTGAGATCTTATGACAAATGGGCAAAGTCTGAAAGTCAGTAATGTATGTGGTCTGTGTGGAGACGGATTCGAATACACCCACCGTAGCCCTGCTAGTCGTAGGAGACGATGAAAAGGGGACCCAGTGCGTTGGGGTAAAACCGGGCCACCCTCTTCCTGGGGGATGTAAATACAGGGACCTGACCCTCCAGCTTCGGAGAGTCTCACCTGAGAATGACTACGCTGGCGAGGGTCAGCAGCAATTGTAAGCGAAAAACCCATCCTAGTACACAAGAGAGGATGTTACACAAGGACTATGAAAACAAGTGCTCAATCAAAAACAAAGCTGGTCATGAGTCTCAAGGAACTTGTAGCCAAGACGAACTGATTGGCGGTAAACCGCCGGTCGGAAAGTAAACCTGACTCTGACTCTGAAAGTCAGTTCAGTTGCGGGATATTTGCTGGACAGTAACAAGTGAGCACAGAAGCTGAAGAATCTCGGTTGTTAAGATCCGTTACTGGGAAACGACTGGGGAACGCAGACTGAGAAGAATTAGCGTGTTCTGTAGTGATTTGTAAAGTGTGTGAATTAGCGATAGCCTTATAATTACTTGTAGTTACTAGTTGTATGTACAAGCGGTCAGTAAATCGAGTCACCAATCAAAACCCCGTCTATAGTCACACCTCTTCACGTGATATTATCCGTCTGGCATACGTAGTTAGGTTCCTTGGCACGCGCATTATTTTCCGAGATGAGGTTGCTATCACATGCGTCAGTATCAGAGGGACGATTCTTGGTTGGCCATGCAGAGCCTTGGGTTCTATACTTGCTAGATCACTGAGCAGAACTCTTAGACCTTTGTAATGTTCTGTGCTAGTTTGTGTTTTAATTGAAGTAGCTCTCAGCAGCTCAGATCT